CCATCAGCAACATTAGTTGTATATAGAAGGTGGTGCTTTGTAATAGATTTAAAAAACATTTTTCCTGCAACTTTTTTCCTTGCCTCTGAGGAACCTTCATGGACAATGCTCTTCACACTTCAAATACACACTCTTATACCTATTTGACTCTTTGTTCAACTTTACCTAGACTTACACTCAAAGCAAATTCCAGATTCTACTTCATCATCTATTATCTCAGCAATTATAATTGATAAAATAAATACCAAGCAAAAAACTGTAGCCAAAATGCTTCTCCCGAGTACCATCTACTGAAACACAAAATAAAAAAGTAGCAACATTTTCATTGTTAATGTCTTTTAGGTTGTTAATTTGCAAAATGTTTTTTTAATTTCTTTGCTGCTTCACAAAGGAATGGTATTCTAGTCAGTTTGGTGATTTTTTTATTCTAGTCGTTAAAATTCTTAGTATCCATATCAAAATGCACCTTTCTACCTTTTTCTTAAATAAAAAGTTGTGCTCTTGTGAAAATTTTCAATGTATCTCATAAGGTAAACACAAGTCTGAAGAGCATGGCAGATTCATGCACCAGGTTGATGTAGTGCTGTATGTTCAAATTAAGAAATCTACTCAAAAAATTTACTGCCACAAGGTTTACACACAAAAAATCTGTCTGAAATGACTTTGAGCATATGTGTGAGAACTGGCCTACTCTGCAGACTGGGATATACACGCATGAGGATGTCCGCTCTTAAAAACTTTCTTTCTGTCAATTTTGGAAACAATTTCAAATGTTTGTTTCGCTTTTGTGAATTCTTTCACTTCCCATTTATCTCCACAAAGTAATTTGACGTCTAAGGGCCCAGCTATTATGTCCATTGCATCAAACAGGTCAACATCATGCTGGAGGTGTTTGGGGATGGACTCAAGAATATTTTCACTGCCAATCTGGGGCTTCAGGCAATCTAGCTCTAGTTCAGATAGGGGTCCCTCTTCATCTTCAAGAAACCTCCTCAAAACCTTCCCGACATATAGCTGTGGCCTCTTCTTTGCGACCAAACAAACCAACCAAAAAAATTGCAGCAAACCAACTTCCTACCAAAGATTCCTCAGACACCCATGGTGAGAGTTTCTTCCAAATTTCTTTCAAATAGCTACAGGTTGTCTTTCTGTTACTGGAGGAAATAGTAAGGTGGGATTTTCACTCTCGTTGATGGCAAGACTATTATTATCAGATACGCAAAAGGATTCAGAATCTGCCTCATCTATAGAAAATACACCCAATTCTTCATCCTCCAACAACACGGATGGTCCTTCTTTTGTATTCTTTTTAAATTTACGCTTTTTTGTAAGTGACTCCTCCTTATCTTTAATTGCTTTTAAGTACTCTTCATCAGTTATGATTTTCGCTTTTAAGTCAATTTAACGGCGTTTTTTTGTTGACTGGTCAGAAGGCCATTTCATTTTATCTAAAATGAATTCTACAAGACTCTTATTTTCTGAACTTTTAGCCACCTCCCTTTTATTGATATCTTTAAGCACCCAAACTGGTACCCATTTTTTCCCTGTTGGTGGAAGACACGGCAAAGGTCCAATAGTTTTGGAAAGTTCACAGCTGCAAACTTTTGGACTGTTCTTCAATTTTCCCAACCCTTGGTGAACTTTTTGTCAACTTTTCATCTGCAGGTGCACCTTTTTCGGAGTTGAGCTTCCTTTTGGAGGAGAACGGAGGGCTGCTTTTACTAGTGTGGAAATTCCAAATGCCAAATTGTCTTCCAATTCCTGTGGTCTTCCTGCATTTACCCACCTTTGGTATCGTTTTTTCAGCTGGGAATCTAAGCAACCTGTTGGGAATTTCAATTTTCAATTTCAATTTCAATCGCTTTATCAACAGGAAAAATTGCCTGTTCCAAAAAAACCAGATTTAATATTTTCCATTGTCATATCTTTGTGCCAAATTTCTGATAAAAAATTGACAAAAGTGGCTTTCCTCACAGGCTCCCATCAACCAAACTCATTAATGTATGAGTTGAGTTTGGATTCACACAGTCGTTTTAGAGGACCAAAAACAGAAACATCTAGTGGTTGCAGGAAGTTTGTTACATGAGGGGGGAGCTTCAAGATTGTGATGTTTTCTTTCTTTGCCATTTCAAAAACATTGATAGAAACGTATGTCAAATGTTTGTCAAATATCAAAAGCAATGGTCCCGTGGTGATCTCCATCGCAAACTTAGAAAATCATTATTCAAAAAGTTCAGTGGTTATCCGGTCATTTTCAAATACTCCATACCAAGTTTTTGGAAGGGCCCTGTCTCCGCACCAAGAAGACTCATTGAAAGTTATTAAGGGGTAAAGTGCTTTACCAGCAGCATTGTAAACTGCCAGTGTTGTAACGTTTTCCCATCATGCACCGCAAGTAACCCTATATGCAGGTTAACCCTTGTGTTGGAAATTCAGACTCATCACAATTCCAAATTTGCTCCATGGTAAGGCCCTTTGATTTTATTATGTCTTCCAGTTTCTCGTAAAAGTCATAAATGATAAAGGGGTTTGAGGTTGCTGATTTTCTTGCTGAACTTATCATTTACGCTTTTTCAGGGACAGTTTATTTCTGCGAATAAAAGACGTAAGCCATTCTCTACCTGGCTTTCCCTCCTTAAACATAGGGGCTTCAATGTCATTTGCTTTAAGATATGTTGTAACAATGCCCAGAATTTCATGTGTTGTTGGGCTGAATCCTATTTTACACATAGTATTGATACACTCTACTAGCTTTTTTTTACCTCAGCTTTAAAAATGGGTTTACGACCTTGAGTTCCAATGCCCTCTCCTCGTTCCTGTTTCTTTGCCCTCATTCAAAGAATTCCCTCAGACATTCAGTATTTGTCCGCTGTGCCCCTAATAGTGTTTCCAAAGTGACTTTCTAGCAAAGCCTTCTCAATATCATCTTTCGACCAAGATTTTCCTTGTTTGACATAATTTCCCGGCATTTTTCTTATTTAGACACAACTAGTTTTTTCACATAGACACTCAAAATAACTATTTCTTTGTCTCAAAGACAAAGAAAGACACTGCTGTTGTGTCTTTTCTTCTCTAAAAAAGCTGTTGCTTATCTGAAATATTCTTCAGGAGCAGGTGCTTGCAAATTGAAAAAAGCTGATGTGTTGTTTCCATACAGGCAAGTAAGTGCATTGCGTAGTGGGGCACAAAGAACATGGCTTTCTGACTGCACTGAGGCCCATCGTCAGATCTCCTTTGAAGTCTGTGATTTTAAAATAATTCACAAAATCTCCAAATACCCATTCAACAGAAACACAAATCCTGCTCATAGACTGATTAAAGGGTTTCTCTTCAACAGTAAGGTCTTCTTGCAAAGGGGCATTGGAGAAATACTCTATAAGGATATGCAGGATCTCCATAGATACACAAAGGCTGGCCATCAGGTGTGAAGGAATGCTGCTGTAATTGATTTAAAAGACCTGACATTTCAAGTCACCCTCAATGTCAGTTACATCCGATTCACTATCCTCATGTTGACTATCTTCATGTTAACTATCTGAGGCAGCCAAGTCTGTTGAATTGTTACATCCAGAGCATTTGCAAAGTGAAGTGCAGCTAAGACTCCCCTTGAAGCATGAACAACAATATGTTTAACATCCTGATTTGCACGCACATTCTCTTTTTCAAGAATGCCAGGAGAGAGGAGAGAAGTCCATCCACACAATGGATACTGATTCGTTATATACTCTCCAGCCATTGTTACTTAAGTCAGGGGCTCCAATAGCTTGATTCAGCGCTTTCCTCCATATGCTGCTTGATAGTTGGCTTGGCTGAGGTGCTTTTTCAGTACATGTTCTGTGCAAGGCATTGACCCTTCATTAAAGTTGCCCGAGAGATTATCAGCCTTGCTTTGTTGACCTTGTCTGTACCGGATTGGTTGTATAAACGGCAAACAAATTTCTGAGCAGCTTGAAGAAGCGTTTTTTCGTAATCAAACTGAGATCAAGTTTCTCTGAATAGTGCAATAAACTCGGACATTTCAAGTAACTTATGGAATAGTTTCAGCTCCCTTTTTCCGTAGAATGCACTTACGCTGTTACATCCTAAAGTAGAAAAAAAAGTTATGGCATATTTATTGTTAACATTCTCCTGTTGGGGTTCGAAATCAGGAGCCCTAACATCCTCACAACCAATCTACTTGGCACTCAAATATTGTAAAATCAAGCTATAGCTACCTGTAAAGGAGTGAAAACCAATCAAAGCAGAACTCATTTCAGCGCTATATCTTGAAAATTTTTATTGATAAAGATAATGAGACAATTATTTCCCGTTCCATTATTCATGTACACTGCAGCATCCAACGGCCATTTGAGCCCGATAAGGAGAATGACTTTAAATCAAAATACTATCGTAGTTTGATGTTGCATGTTTGGCGTGAATCATTAGTCTAGTGTCTGCTTCTCTGTAGTCACAGTGAAGCTCTAGGATCTCATCAATATTCATTCTTTTTTCCGAATCAACATAAAATTGATGGCCGGCATTCCTGTGTGTGAAAGACAACTCTTTTTGTCCAAGCAACTCTGTTAAATCACCACGAATAGCAATGAAATGGCTGTGGAGGGAGATTAAAATCATGACTCAAAACAAAAACCGCAGGGCAAATTGTTCTAAGAATCTTTTTAGTCTACACCACTGCAAAATCAAGTTACCTTTGTTCATAACTTTGTTAGAGCCAGGTTTCATGTGTCACTTATATTTTTTATTCTCAAGAAGGTGATTATATCAAATGACTTGATATGTTCAAAGAGGCTTTAAGAGGACTTTCTCAATTTTATTTTGGGGCGTTCCTTTTATTTAAAGGCCAATTTATGTTATATTTCAATGTTTTATTAACCCATTCAGACATTTTTGCTTTCTCATGCACTTACCCCTAGCCTCATTTTCGTGATTTTGGCCCTTCTCCCCAGACAAAATGGCAAAAAATTTAAATACTGAGGTAACTTCAGAAAAAGGCATGTATTTCAAAAACCATTGGGTCTTTTTACATACATACAAGAGAAAAAACAATGCAAAAGAGTTAAATTCTTTAAGTAAAACACTATGGTGGTTAGAAAATTGTTAAAAAGGTCAAAAAATTTATTGTTCTTTTCGTAGAAAGGCCTAAAACAGTCAATGCAAAGATGGACAGAATCATTGATGCTGCACCCGTCGCAAATGATCCTTGATTCAGCCCGTTTCTTCTCAGCAATGCATTTTTTGCATCTTCTGGCAGTCTTCGTTTTTTTTGGCCAGTGTCCTCCCTTGGAGGCCTTTCGCTTGCGATAGTTTTGGCCTTCAAGGAGGTACTTTGCGATTGCCTTCTTGAACGACAAGACACTTGGGGCTACCGCAATGCCTCTTGAGTTGATCTTTTTGTGGTTTTCTGATTCCTTCAAACAAATTAAAGCATTTGCCAGGCTAATATCATACAGAAACCACATAATATAAAGCCACCAGCGCTTCGTTGAACGGGCTGTAGGATATAGTGTGCGAAGCTGATCGCTGTGGTCAACAGCATTCATGAAGTTGTTGTATTTGACAATTGGCCAAACGCAAGGAACTTCCTTCATGGTCCCATCTTTTTGACGCCCATTGATAATAGTTGGGCCTTCGCTTGGATCGGTATTTGTTGATACAACCAGAACTGGCTTGTGCCCCTTCTTCTCGCGCCAAGCAGAAACAAGAATCCCATCATTTTGGAATTGCTTGGAATCTCCGCCATCCTTTTTGAGGTTGTTCACCTTTTTCTTCGAGTCAAGATCGAAAGGGAGCCCCTTTACATTTGATCTGACAGTTACGCAGCAATACAAGCCTTTCTGCAGGGCTGCAGGACTGCAGAAGTAATTATCGCAGTAGATGTGACTGTTCGTACCATACAGTGGCTCTGTTAGGTCTTCAACTACCTTTTTACCAAGGCCTACCTGACGAGTACCATCTTTAGGCTTCCCCAAGTAAACGCTAAAATCGTTACAATAGCCCTTGTGGGAATCTGCCCGCATCCAAATTTTGATCCCATATTTGGTCGGTTTTGACGACAAATACTGTCGGAAATCAAGCCTTCCTCTGAATGCAACCATAGCTTCATTGACAGCACATGCCATGTGCGGGTTGTAGTTTTTAAACAGTTGCCCCTCACAATTTCCAAAATAGGCCTAACCAGATAGAGTTTGTCATAGTTCTTGTCTCCTTTACCTGGCATCTTTGCTCTATCATTTGCATGCAGGTACTCTGTTATTTTGTCAAACCTGTTCCTTGCCATTATTTTTTTTTAAAAAAATCCTCCAAAACTGGCATCTTCGGACCAGTAAATCTTCATTTCTGGCATGTTGATGACGGCCATGAAAACAAACGCATGCCGAAGTAGGTTTTTAGTTCAGCCAATTTGTTTCTGTCCAAAGCAGGTTTGGTTGCAGGGAATTCTACTGTCTTGCGTATAAATTTGTTTGTGTGGCAAGAATTTCAAAAATCTGCATAGGAAAAAACAGATTTAAAAAATCTATTTCTGTTTTTTCACAACCAAGAACATTTGTTGGGCCTACAGGTTCCTTCCCGCAAAAGCTTTTTATAACAACCTTCGAAAGGTTACTGGAAAAATTTCCCTTGCTTGCTCTTTCATCATCGTCTGATTCCGAGGAACTACTCTTTGATATTTGAGAAACATGGATATTAGAAAGTTCCCCAAGCTCTTTATCAGCAAATCCAAAAAAATTCTCCTCTTCGTCACTGTTTCCAAAGATGTTGCGAACTAGGTTATCCATTGTTGACAAAGTTAAACGACTGAAATTCGTAACGGTTTTTCTCACGATTTCACTACGGGACCAAACCCATATTTTTGCATAAAAGCAAAGTAAATTTATTTCTCTATTGTTTTCTTTATGTTCTGAACAATCCAAGTAGTTTAAATGAGCCAATGAGCAACAAGAATTCAAACCGTCAAATGACGTCCGTGGGAAATGTGCAAAAAGACATGCGACGTCAATCGACGTTTTTGGGGAGATGAGCCAACAACTCTTTGACGCCATTTGGCGTCAACCGGACTGAATGGGTTAAGCTACTTTGAAAAGCTTATTCAATTCCTTTGCAAAACTTTATTCCAAATAGATTTTCTGCATTAACGTAATAGAGCAAAGGGATTTGTTGTTTGATTTAAACCTACCAAAATCTTGCTGAACACTGACTTCTTTGATGGTAGCTTCTCCTCTTTTAAATTTAGGGTAGTGAACTTCTATTTGGACTAATCCATCGGCTTTCTTCTTTTTTGGCGTTGTAAATTGAAGTTAAAATGTATAGATGCAATAGCATGCCTGTAAAATTTATAGACAGGTGAATTTATTTTTTAGAAAGTGCTTAAAAATAATTTATAATTTATTTCTTTAGCCAGGAAAAAATATGTAGGTCCAATGATATTTTGCACTAGATTTTGAGGCGAACCTGCAAAGAATGTTTGCATTAAGGTCCAATGCAAAATATAAAATCCAATTCATCACCACTCAATCAATATTAAGCATTCAGTACATTGGAGAATGTCTTCTACAGGTTAATTGCACTGATTTCATTTTTTAAAAGTTATGCAGATCCACTGATACATACCAGTAAAAGAGTACCCAATCTTTTTATGGCAAAAATGGTTTACAACAGAATGGAAACTTTCCAAACATCTTATTTGTGCAATGGGTGATGCTTTCTTAAGTCCATTTACGATGCTTTTCTCTGTCAATGCCTTCACAAGTGTATCATGTATACTTGAATCTATAGTATAGGGTGCAGTCATTATGAAATCTGATGGTAGGTTGCGAGAAAATGTTTTGTTGTAAAGAGATCCTGTATTATTACAAAATACAGTTTATGTAAAAGAAGTATGTTTTTCTTTTATGAATAAAACCTGTAAACTTCTGACCATGATATGCACATACCCTTTAATGTGTATAAAATGTTGGAAGTGAGATGCATGCCGATCCCATGTGCTTGAAGACATTCAACACCTTGTTCCAGCAACTAGGATTCCAAATGAGAGTAGCAAATACCCAGCAAAGATCTTTGTATTTGGGATGGTTGGCTGACTTCTCCACACATTTTGTTTGTTTTTACAAACTGGGTTTCCGCAGACAGTTTTGATCTCCACCATTGTACAAACTTTGGTTTGTGTAACCAATACACCGTCAGATTTACATAAGGGCAAAATTTGAACACGGACAACAGAAGTGATAGAAAAACAATAAAGTTTAGTTCTGTTCGAAGATTGCTTGAAGTAACATCACTGTCAATTCTGCAAAAATAAAATCCAGGGAAAAAAAGTTAAAAACTACCTTTGATAATATATCACCATTTACGCAATGAATTAGATGTTTAATTCATGTGTTATGTGCTCTTTTACATACATACACTTCTGAATTATGATATAACACCAATGAATTATGATATGACTTTTTACAATATTGACCTTCTTCCTCACTAGATGTATTTTCTTCAGGTGGCATAAAATCCTCATCAACTTGCTCCAAGTGGTTAGTATCTGAGTCATCAGTTGAGTCATCATTCAACCTCGTCGTCAGTTATTTCCGAAGTGGCTTCATAAAAATAATCTCGCAATGCATCTTAAGTAATGACACATGTCAAAAAGAATGGATAATGCGATATAATGCATTACATTTTATCTAACATGCCCATCTAAAATCTGCCATTAATGATATTTTGACAGGATCAAATCATATTTCCCAAGGGCAAACAATACAACTCTCTGTGACCTCTGAATGATTACTAGAATAAATGTAGAGAGTTGGTTTGATTAAAACAAACTTTTATAACCATTAAAAGAATTTATAGTCAAAACATACTAATTTGAAACTAATTTAACAGGAAGACTTATTAAATAAAATGCTTCACAAACCAATGTTTTTCTCGAGTCTTTTTTTACTGCAAGTGCATTCTTCAATTTACTGTTTGCTCCTAGCAGATTATTCTTGTACCTCCTACTCTGACTTGCCCAATATTTACAGCCCACACAAGTGTCTTCTGTTTGAGTCCCACAGTCAGTTGTCTAAAAAAGAATAAATTTCAGGATTTTGATTTTCGAGTAATGCATCCATATTTGCTTCAATTCAGATAAACTTTAGAAACAATACTGTAAAAATGAATTTTTAGTATTTTGAAGGAGATTTGGGGGGTGTAATATAAAGATTTAGCAAATTTTGAAATCCGCCAAAAGAGTCATCACATATATACCTTATTTTGCAAAAATAATTTTATCAAACTTGTCGTGTAGAGCTGTCTTCTTCATGCTTGGGAGGTGCATCATCTAAAATCTGAGATTCAGTGCTTTCAGGTTCATGATCTATTGCCTTACTTTGTACAGCCTTCTTTGTTCCTGGTGTTGTGACTGGTGGGATTGTGACTGTGGAGTCTCCAGATTGAAGAATATTACGGATTGTCTAGAATCACAATGTTTTTGAAAATCATATTAACCCACAAAAAATTGAATCAATCTTCTCTGATGACCATACCAATATTTTCAAAAATTAGAAATGAACTTCATTATGAAGCAAATGATTTGGACAATTCCAAGAATAATTTTCAAATTTCAAACAATCAAAATATTTCAGCACTGGTGTTTTAAGGCAATATAAGCAATGTTTAGAAATTGTACTAACTTGTCTGTGGCAACAGCTTCCTGGAACTGAAATTGTTGTCTGAGCCAAAGATGAGGGCCTAGCATGGTAGATGGATTGCACTGCAGAAATCCCAAATTAATATCTCACCAGCTCTCGCTTAAAAAATTTGCTAAACCCAGGTAACAAACTCGGCATTGCCAAGGACTGTTCATAATCGCCTGTGTTGAAGTGCTGAGAACAGATTCCTTAATACTTGGATGGTTTCCATTTCGCCTGTGTTTTCCGTACAAAATCAATTCATCTCTTTCTCCTTTGCTTTGCAACTGGTCTGCTTTCTTCAAAGTAAGGGATTAAATGCCCTTTCCCTTACTTGGTGTGGCAGAGAAATTGTAAACACAACAAAGTCTTGGCATTTTGACTGGAAAAATTTGAGTTTGAACTAGAAAGATAGGCCACATTGCTAACAACAAACAGTAACTGAAGCAACGCTAGTAAAGATCTCACTCGTTCTAGCTCACACACAAACCAGTTCCAGACCCCAAACGACAGTCATGCCCAACACAACATTGTCCATAAAATGACGACAAACTCAGAGTTTGAAATAGCTTTTTTGTGTAGCTCATAGCATATAACATAATTAGGACTTTACTAAATTGCCTTTAAAGTGATATAAAATTAAATATCAGAAAATCAATCCTTTCCTGCCAATTAATGTGCTTTACTGAGACTTCATAACATGGAATGATTGAAAGTCCCTTCGTGGCAACAAAGTTTTCATCAGCAAATCTTCTTGACATTTCTTGTTGCAAATGATCAAGAAAAGGGATAGATAGATTCATTTTGTAGTAACCAGAGACATCATGCAAAGGACAATGCTCCTATGAGCTTGTTGCCTGCAAGTTCTTGGGCTTTTGATGACAGCATCTACCTTGTTGGCAATTGAACAAGCATCTTTAAACCAAGAGGAATTGTATCGGTCTACCAGATCTCTTGTGGTTTGGATGGATTCATTCATCATTGCGACCTTCGCCAAGCCTTTAAAAATGTCGACGAGTGCACCTTGAAGTTGTACCGTGGCTGACCTGGTGTATTCAAGGCAATTTCTTACTACAACCAATGTCATGATAAAATCAAAGCTTGTGATTAATAAGGAAAGTGCATATGCATCACCTGCTGAAGTGTCCCATAGTCTATCAACATTATCACGAATGGTAAAAAGTGCTTCTACAATGGCAACATACATAGCAAGAAAGCTCCCCAAGCCATCAATTCCCAAAACACATTTGGTACAACACACATCAATAAGTTTGAAATGTTTGTAACCAGGTAAATGCTCTTTGACCATCTTTTCTAAAAGAAGTTGGCGTTTTGGAGAGTTGTTGAAGAATTTGGAAACATTTTGAATATTGTCCATCAAGTCTCGCCCACTTTGTAACTGGCATGATGTGGCAACACAAAGATTTAAGCAGTAAGAGGCACAGTGAGTGTAGAGG